TGTGAATTGAATTAAGATTATGAAAAATTACAAAGCAAGGGAGCTAAACAATCTTAACTCCCGAGTACAACCATTGAACACCAAAAAAACAATTACAATACAGCCCAAAATATAGAGTTTCTGTTCACCCCTTGCCTAGCTAGACCATGTGCCAATGAGTTTGCACTTCTCTTTACCCATGTGCATTGAATTTCAATGTCCTTAGTCAGCCACTTAAATTTTCTCTTTTAGATGTAAATCAGTCCTCAAAAATTAGGTGTAAATTTGAAAATTAGAGAGAAAAAGGAAGAAGAAAAGTAAGAGCGGCAGTACAAGAGAAGAAGATGGCRAAAAGAGGAAGAAGAAGAAAGGTTCGAATTATTCTTCCCTTTCTTCTCTAATCCCTTTTATTAAGAATTAATGTTAAAGTAATTACAAGTATGCATTTAAGTGGGCGGCCAACTAGGCAGTAACATAAAGAGATCAAACAAAAAGAAATAACAGGCCCATTAAGTGAGGCCCATTAGCTAACAAGAAAAAGAAAAGATATTACAAGAGAAGATGCTAGGACCCATTCGGCCTAGTCTCTTTACACTCCCCCTCAAGCTGAGCATAGATGTCAATCATGCCCAGCTTGCTTATATAGTGTGYCATTTTCYCTCTYGGAACTCCCTTGGTCAAGATATCAGCCAATTGTTCGTCTGATGTGATGAATGGCAAACAAACTTCGCCTGAGGAAACTCTTTCCCTTATAAAATGTCTATCAACCTCAATGTGCTTAGTTCTGTCATGTTGAACAGGATTATGTGTAATATTGATAGCTGCTTGGTTGTCACAGTAGAGCATCATTGGCTTCTCGTAGTCAACCCCCAATTCTTCTAAAAAGGGATCGCAACCACAGTAATTCTGACACACCATGTGCCATTACCCTGTATTCTGCTTCAACTGAGGATCTAGCAACTACAGACTATTTCTTACTCCTCCATGACACAATGTTCCCAGCGACCAGAGCACAATAACCTGAGGTGGATTTCCTATCATCAATACATCCTGCCCAATCAACATCAGTGAAAGCTTCCAGCTTCATGTGTCCATGTTTGGCAAATAGAGTACCTTTCCCTGGAGTACCTTTCAAGTAAAACAATCCTTTTTGCAGCAACTAAATGAGTATCTCTGGGAGAATGCATAAATTGACTAATAACACTTACTGCATAGGAAATGTCTGGGAGTCATGCAAAGATATAACAACTTCCCAAGCAGTCTCTAAAACACCCCCTTATCAGATAAAAGGTCACCATCTATAATAGAAAGCTTATGATCGGGATCAATAGGAGTGGAGATTGGTTTAGCTCCAAGTTTACCAGTCTCAGCAAGGAGGTCAAGGACATATTTACGCTGAGAAATGAAGATACCGTCCTTAGATCTAGCAACTTCAATGCCCAAAAAATACCGAAGATCTCCCAAATCTTTGATCTCAAATTCAGAGTTAAGAAATCTTTTTAGTTTACTGACCTCTTGAGTGTCATTATCCGTGACCACAATATCATCAACATAAACTATCAAGAAGGTCACCAGAGAGCCATTTTCTTCAAGAACAGGGTATGATCAGATTGAGTTTGTGTGTAACCAAATGAGACAAGAGCAGCCCTGAACCTCTCAAACCAGGCTCGAGGAGACTATTTGAGACCATAAATAGATTTCTGC